AGAGTTTCCTTCTTTTGAAAAGGTATTCTTAATAATGTATAACACAGCCTCTATGCAGTAATACGCAGAAGGTTTTATGCGGTGAATTTTGTGTCGTATTCAGTGCCTTTTCCTTGAAAATTACTGCTGCAGATCCTTACTCTCTCTCTTGTTTATCGTCTATGTAGCACAGTAAAGGTGATCATATCTATACACAAATATACTTTGAATTTTGCTGCTATATATCATTGTTCTGCTGTGACTGGGTCATTGCGACCATTGCTAAAACCATAGGGAAGCAGTGGTGCTAAGATCTTCTTCGCAGTCGACAGAGACATGTTCAGTTAAAAGTTCGCTCGGCATTTCAGTGCGTATAACTGAATCATTTCATGCCACGAAGAGCTTTTGCAAGCAGACGAAAAAAACTAGGAGCAGCTTCTTAATTGTAATTAAAATATAAAGGCCAAAAAGAACGGTGACTTCATACAACGACAACCTGATACCATGCACGCTCTGTTCACGTGAGAAAATGAACTTTTAACTCCAAACAGATTCGTTCGCGGAAGCTGTAAATTACTCAGCAAATTTAATAACTGGCCTGAAATCTAAAATCATGTACTCATCTGTTATGTCATGTATCAAATAACATTTGCTTTCGTTTAGTATTTAGCCTATCAGCCTATTCTTATTTAGTACACATGTGTTTTAAGCGGTTTGCGGTTGGTTTACAACAAAAACAATTTTTTTAAACATTCGTACAAATACCTTTTATTTTAAGTTTTCCAATTAATTTATGTGTAACATGGCTGATTTTTGTCGCTGATGTATCTTTGATGATGTATGAATTCAGGATATTTTAGGGACCTGTCATTATTTATGTAGCGGGGGGGAGGGAAAAAAGAAGGGGGGCTCAAGGCTATTTCAGATTGGCTATTGGGGGGGCTAAACTTTTTATAAAGAAGTTTAGGGGGGTCAGCAAATCGATCGTAAGGTATATTTTAACAGGGGTCCATTGGCCAAGATGGGTAAAGCAGTTTAATAGATAGTAGAGCACAAACAATATATGTGAAACAGTAATGCAAAATTGTACAATTTTATGCTAATCCTATTCCTTTTTGTTTATTTAAAGCATCGCTTTTTTTTTACAACTTAGTCGTTTGTATTTGACAGAAATTCTGTTTGCACTCTAAACTTCATTGTTATTTCAGATTTTAGCTAATAAAGAATCCAGACCTATCTGCTTTAATATTTGGTTTGAATGAATAGCGAAATGCTTGTGTCACTTCAATATCTCAAGAAAAACATGATGAAACAACGAGAAAGTAGTCCTTTTACAACTGCAGGAAAATCGTTTGAAAAGAATTGTATTTTGCATGGTTATTACATTTGTGTTCACCATCAGTGAAGGCACGATTTGTAAAAATCTATCAATTTTCCTAAATTTATACGCTGATTTTGTAATAGAGTAGGTTAGTTCCATTGCTATGCAAAGTAACTAGTCGTCTTATGATAAGCATGTTTATTTTCCAATTAAGTGTTCACTCTTAACAGAGTATTGTTACGTGCATTTTAATAATTACTTTGTAGAGCGTACATACATACACGTTTTATGCATATAAGAGGAGATATGAGGTGGGGGGATCATCACATAAATGTTGAATAAAGAAGGGGGGTCACTTGCTATTGACATGGTCTGCAGGGGGCCTTACAGAAATGTGGATCTTTCCAACATATTTTTCCCTCCCCTCCCTCTACATAAATAATGACCGGTCCCTGAATAAAAAAACAAATGTTTACGCCAGTGAGTAAACGAAAGAAACAAAAAGCTCCTGAACGAAACCAGAAACGTCCTTGAGTTGGGATTTCTAGCTACATTCGATGAATTATCCTTCCCCAGCTTAGCCGAAATGGACCAAAATTTTACTTGCTGATAAAATTCCACTTCGCCGCCGACGGGGTTAACAAGGGTGCATTTACTAACCGACCGACTGCCACCTTACATAGCTTCCCTTCGTTGGAACGTCTGGAAAGGCCCTAACGTCGAAGAGCGTATTCGCTGGTCAATTACCTCAATTAAAGCCGGCTTGCATTGACTAGTACTGTTAGAACTGGAGCGACACAGTAAGAAATTCTTTTCCACTAAGATAGTGAGTTCATGCAAGGAGCTCGAAATTACCTCTCAGGTGGACTAGTAATTTAGAATTTTAGATGGTTCCTTTTATACTACCCGGTCTGCCATTACGGCCGCAGATGCTGTGCAGTAATCCCCAAGAGCAGAGGACAGGATGACCCCCTTGTACAAGTTTATGCAGCTAATTTCTCACCCTACGGATAAATTTTTTTTCCACACAGCATCATGCCTTCCAAAAAAGGCAAGTGGAAAAAGGCTTTCGATGACCGCAACAGAGATTCTAAAGGTAGGTTATCACTGATATATGGTTTTTCTACAAACATTCAGGACGCGGCAGTTAGTCTACACTGCAACGTATGTGTCACCACAAAGTCCACTAAAGACACAGTAATTTGATTACTGATAAATGCTTATAACTCATTTTGAGATTATTACAATTGAACCCGATGAGGGGAATCAATAGTGATCATTTACATGCACTTAATTCAAAATTTACATTTCTGTGTCCGCCTTGAATTTTTTTTAAAAAGGGCAGTTCGGACTGTCGTTCATACTTTTAAAACTATTCGTAATGTTAGTATAACAGGTCATAAAGGTAGAAAATTTTCTTTGCTCACTTTAATGTAGAATTGCATTCGTTCTGATACAGAAACACTCTACTTCTCCTCTACTTCAGTAGCAAAATGCACTGCAAAAAGACTATGACAGATTGAAATCCCCTTGATTATAAACTGCTTTTACAACATGTTAGTAAAAGATGTGTTAGCATATAGTCATGGTCCCATTTGTTGAAAATGTGGAAAGTGTTATCCACAGGAGAAATCACAACCCATGCAGCCGTGGATAAGTGTCGGGAAAGCCAATTGCATTATTTGCTGGACAAAGAGGGATAGCACTGACGACTGAGGACAGATCAAAACCCGCTGCAAGGCCTGGATTGACATCTTTCGTCTTTACAGACTAGTGAGCTTAAGACCCGGTGCTAGGCCTTTTTAAGTGCATAAAACTAAGGTACTAAGGGACTGGTCAAAAAGTATAGAGGGGGGTGGGCCGGAGCAGAGAGGGGGTGGGTCATGAGGTTTTGAGCCTTGCGCAAGGGGTGGGTCGTGCAATTTTCAGCTACCCTTAGGGGGTGGGTCACCCTATTTTTTACTAACTACTAACGAGACAGTTGACTACACTTGTTATATAAAACACAGCCAACTGGAATTATTGCTAAAATACTCACAAACCTGTTGTGCGAGAAAATACAAAGGTTGACAGGCCGCACATCTATACGGGCGTGGAACCCTCTGTGAACCGTTTTTCTTCTTTTTTGTAAGGAAATGATTGGTGGTTCTTTAAAAATTTATTGAAGTTAATAGTTGGTTTTGTGTAAGATTCCATTTTTTCATTCAAGCTTCCTTTATAGTAGACACTGAGGGCTGGTATTGTGTCACGAATGGCAATATTTCTTTTTCCTCCTTGTTGTTTTGTTTTAGGAGTTTAGACTCCCTTTTGTGAATTTTATTTCCGATAGTAGGTTTTCTATCAAAGATAGGGGGCACCCAACGAGAATATACTTCTAAACCAATTTAAACAGTAGATATAGGCATATTTTTATCCCCTAAAAATTTTCCGTCTGTTTGGATCTCCTAGCTGAAAGTCTAGTGATACGAAAATTATAGGGATCAAAAAATAGGCAATTATACCGTTTTTTTAGATGTTCGAAAATCCTAGGAGGGGCAGACAAACAAGAAGTTTTACAACAAATGTTCCGACAATTCTAGATCTCAAATCGTCTTTCAAACAGTTATTTTCCGAAAATTGACGTTGGGTGCCCCTGAAAGATTGTGGGTAGCCTCCGTCCATCAAGCGTTTTTTTTTTTAATTTGAATTATTTTCCTCAAAGGTTGTTTCTGAGGAGTTTTTTCGTAGATTCTTAAGGCTTCTCCTTTGACAAATTCTTTTTTTAACATTTGGAGGGTGACACGAGGTGAAATGTGTGTGCAAGAAGCTTTCCGTTTGTTTAAAATGTGTCTTTGCATCAAGGATAGATTTTTCCTTGAATCTTGTGCCTTTGTATACAACCGTGTCTAAAAACGCAGTCTCAGTGTCAAATGTTTCGGCCGTGAATTCATTAGTTGGGTGATGTAAGCTTGCTTGTTCAATGAAGGCTTCGATGTCTGGTTTACTCATGTCCCATAGGGAAAAGATATCGTGTATGTGGCATTTCCAAACTGTTGTTCTAAAGACAGTTTTGCTTAGAGTTGTTGTTTCAATATATGTCATGAAAACATTGGCAAAGGAATCAAAACTGCTGTCTTTGTGCCCATTGCAGTTCCATGGTTTTGCAGGTAGTGCTTTCCACTGAAGTGGAAGAAATTTTCTTTGAGGATTAATCTAAGCATTTCGGGCAAGTAATGTGTAGGAATGGGTTGTCTTTGTTGAAATTTTCATATGCTTTGTGACAGAAAATTTCAATATACCCTCGTTTTGCTGTATATTTGGTGTATATTTATTTTTGATATTTAAACGTCCATTGAAACAAGAAATGTTCGGTTTTTCACATTCGTCTTTTCAGTGAAAGGTATGATTTCTGTGATTTTGATATTGGTTGTAGCAGTGGATCAACAAATTTTGTCAAGCACAGAGCAAGAGGAAACCGAACATCCATGTTTTAACTAGGGGGTGGGTCATGCAATTTCCAACCTTGCTTTAGGGGTGGGTCAGTCATTTTTGTGCCGAAGGGAGGGGGTGGGTCATGTGTTTTTTTTCAACCCCATTTCCAAATGCCCCGGCCCCCCCCCTATACTTTTTGACCAGTCCCTAACTGCAATCCACGGCTGTCCTTTAAGTACTAAATTATCTGATAGGGTTAGCCACGCTAAAAACAAGGTTCGCGATATACCTTTACGAATCTATTTTAGAAAACGAAGAACCATGGAGACAAGCCCAAGGGGGAAATGAAAACCCAGCAACAAGTCAAGGCGCCTGTGGGACTTCTGCAAATGCAAACCGAGGTAACTAATGTAATGTAGCTGTCACAAAAATGTTATATAAAAGGACGAGTCTGGCACCAAGCAGTGTGGATTGTTGTTATCGTTCACGAAACTGGATTATAAACACGTTGAAAGGGTGTAACTAGAATTTGTTATTTGCTTAGGAATCTTCTTTATTAGAGGTTATCGCATCTCAGAGCTGCACCCGCAAGACTTATAAAAACGTAAAGCTTTAACCTTGGAGCGAATGACATGCCGAGAAAACCGAAGCCACCCATTAAAATGACAAACACAGTGAATAGTGTTGCTGTAATTTTTTAATATAAACAACAAGTTTGATGACGTATGCCAACCATTTGTCATCACATACCAACGAACGACGTTACGGTTCGACAAGAATTTCATACAAATACCAATGCAGAACTCGTGTTTCTATTGCTGGGTTAGTGATATGCAAAGTACACTCAAAAGGAGCAGAACATAATGGGTATCTCCAACTCAGGCACTTAAGTGAGTTCCAAATCCCGTCTTATGATTCTTCCCGTTTTCTTTAGTGTTTAGTTTTAATGTGTATTGAGTCTCTTCTCCATTTTTTTAAACAAGGTAACAAAGGACGCGGGCGAGGAGCACCGTTGGGCCGTGGAAAAGAACAGGTGACGTCATCAAAAGGAAGAGGAAATTCAGGTGCGAGAGAATGTAAACTACCCGTTTTTTCCTAAAGGTTGATGACGTATGCCAACCATTTGTCATCATATACCAACGAACGACGTTACGGTTCGACAAGAATTTCATACAAATACCAATGCAGAACTCGTGTTTCCATTGCTGGGTTAGTGATATGCAAAGTACACTCAAAAGGAGCAGAACATAACGGGTATCTCCAACTCAGGCACTTAAATGAGTTCCAAATCCCGTCTTATGATTCTTCCCATTTTCTTTAGTGTTTAGTTTTAATGTGCATTGAGTCTCTTCTCCATTTTTCTAAACAAGGTAACAAAGGACGCGGGCGAGGAGCACCGTTGGGCCGTGGAAAAGAACAGGTGACGTCATCAAAAGGAAGAGGAAATTATTCAGGTGCGAGAGAATGTAAACTACCCGTTTTTTCCTAAAGCAACCTCCTCATACGACTTTTTGTTTCTTTTACTAATTTTACACACCGGAATTATCGAAGAACGAAGTATGCCACCTTAAAAACAGTGAAGCCAAAGGATTAATTTCCAATGTCCAAGAAGTCCATTAAATCTCCAAAAGTCAGTTTTTAGAGGCAAGAGTCTCTGGACTTAACTCTGAATAGAGCGTTTAACGTCAAACGTAAACAGCAGTAACCTTCAACAGGAAAACACTTGCATTTGTTAACTTGACTGCGCATTCCTTTAATGCACTTAGTTAATACCTCCGTCCAGTCTGACAGGCCAGGACCTAGCAAACGGGTTTGTGCACGCCTCTTCGATTCCTGGCAGAAGGTTGAGTACACTTTGCTGGTGAGTCACTTAAGAAATAAATGCTTTCTTCATTCAAACGCAGATAAAACAAACCAAGCCCAAAGACCTGGAAAGTCAGGCCCAGGGAACAAAAATCCTGGCTCATCGGCACAACAGAATAGACGGCCCTCTGCAAGTGGAGTGTTCCCAGGGAAAAACGTCTTCTTCGACCCCAAAGCTTTAAAATCGAAGGATAGTAAAGAGATAGTCCACACACTTAACGAGGGACTACCTCGTTTAAAGTTCCTTCTTCGATCACAGGACCAGCAGCACAACAACGACGCATTCATCTGTGATCTTACTTCTACTTTAGGAAAGGCCTGCAATGTTCCACCAGGTGAAACTATTAACAAGATTCTAGCCACACTTAAAGGCTCGGCTTTCTTCAATTTAAAAATTCCCAGTTTACTTGATCGCCTTCAAGAGTCAAAGGCCTTAAATGACCAATTATCTCAACAAAGGTTCATTGAGCATCTCATTGAAATCTTCATGAAGTACCTGACACATTTGCCTAGTTCATATGCCGACCTACCTTACACTCAGTTGAAAGCAGCCTTAGATCAGTCAAGTGTTCAAAACAAAGAAGAGCTGCAGACAAGGTTAGATGAATTTAAGCAGGTCAGAAATGACGTCATCAGAGGAGAAAGACAGAGGCATGGGAAACGCTTTGTTAACAGGGCAGGGGAAAAGCCACCAAACGATTTTAGAGACATGCCAATTTGTCCCGAGACCAAAGAAATCACAACTCAAGAACGACCATTCTTACGTAAAAACATTTCAAAGGGTAGGTACGACAACGCCGAACACTACCTTGACGTTCAGTTTCGGCTGCTTCGAGAAGACTTTCTTGAGCCGCTAAGGGAAGGTATTCGTGAAATTGTCCTCAATATACCAAGACATCAACGCAAACAATTGATGAAAAACTACCGTAGCGTAAAAATTGTAGGCAAGGAGTTCACGTGGTCTGGGATAACTCATCAAGTCCAAATCGATGTTTCTGGCTTAGATACCAGCAGATGGGCACATTCCAAAAGACTCTTATATGGTTCATTTCTCTGTCTCTCAAAAGACAACTTTAAAACAATGCTTTTCGCGACAGTTTGTGATCGCGATCCAATGAAAGTAAAGAAAGGGCGAATTGACGTCCGATTTATCGAAAATCAAGACGTTTTTGGGATCGAGAGACGCCATTGCGTTTACCAAATGGTGGAGTCCCCCGCCTATTTCGAAGCCTACCGGTACGTTCTTAAAGGGTTACAGGAATTAGACGAAACAACCTTGCCATTTAAAAAGTATCTGGTCGAGTGCAGTGGAGAAGTTGACCCACCAGAATATCTAAGGCGCGATGAGAGTGAAGAGCCAGTTTATTATGACCTTGGCGAGGCTCTTCATATGCTGCATTTATCGAACACCACATCAACTGTACCTGTTCTGAAGCCTGAAGCTTGGCCCTCCGTTGAAGGGCTTCCTCTCAACAAATCGCAACTCGAAGCGTTAAAGACAGCAATTACAACCGAATTTTCTGTTATCCAGGGTCCACCAGGGACAGGAAAAACTTACGTTGGTGCCAAAATTGTGCGTTGCTTGCTCGATAACCGACGTGCTTGGGATCCTGGTCTGGCCTCTCCGATGCTGATGGTTTGTTACACAAACCATGCGCTTGATCAGTTCTTGGAAAAGGTGTTAGAATTTTTACCTAGCCGAAAAATAATTCGTGTCGGAGGAAGATGCAAGAGCGATAAACTTGAGAACTGCAACCTGAAAAAGTTTACTTACAGGTACAAGCTGCGCGGAAAACGTGATGAAGTGGACGAGAAGTTGCTGCAAAATGACAAAGAAATGAAAATGTCCAAGCAACAGCTTGCAAAGGCAGACCACCAACTTTTAGAGTTCGAGGACGTGGAACAACTAATCAGTCCAGCACATTTACAGCAGCTGTGTAATGCTAAATTTCCATTCAAGGTGGCTAACGAGAGTCGCACTCCGAGCAACACTTTTAAATTGTGGTTATGCAACAACAAAGAGATGGCTTGCAATCAAACGACAAAGGCACCAACCCTTGAAAAACGTGTTGAAAATGAAGAAAACGAATTGTCTTATGACGCAACGATGTTCACAGAAGCACAAGATGAAAGTGAAAGATTCCTTGGAGAACCTTTAGCAGCGGCTAATGTATCAAATGACGCAGCTAAACCCGATCTTCAGCAGAAGACGACCAAACCAGAACCTTTAGAACCTTTAGCAGCAGGTAATCTCAAAAATGACGTAGCTAAACCCGACCTTCAGCAGATGAACACCGCAGATCAAAGAAAGTTAACTAGAAACTTGAATGGGAGTGGCTTACCAAGTGATTTGTCAGACGAACAAAAAAGTACCTTCCTGAGGGAACAGATGGAATTCAGCGCCTTGAAAGACGTTTCTCAGTTAAACCACCGTAGTTTGGAACATACGGCGTCAATAGAAGGTGCTGATTTCAGTCAAGGGACTGAAAACACAGAAGAAGAAGGCAAACCTAGTGATGCAAATGTTGATGAAAAGCGAGAGGCGGATGAAGAGACTATTACAATAGAGAGGGAAGCGGATTTGATACAGCAACAAAGATGGATACAAGGGGATGAAGACCTTCTACTACCTATATCAAAGGAAACAGGTGACTTAAAAAGTGAAGAAAAAAATAAAGGTGGGACAAATGAAGAAAATGACAATGACGAATGGATACTTGTCACGCATAAGAAAAAAGGCCAGTCACATTTCTGGATGGCATACGACGAGGAAAATTCTAAAGAGGACGGCAGATTAAATGATGAGGAGACGGGAGGAACAATGTCTTCAAAGAAAAAGAAGAAAAAAAAGAAGAAAAACAAGAAAAAAGTCCAAATCACTGAGGACATTCACTCTATACAAGGAGACCTAAACAAAACAGAAATGATGTCTACCGAGGAAGTGATGGGCGTTCAAAACATCTGGAATATGTCACAATCAGATCGTCTTCGACTGTACCTCTTCTGGATTGAAAACTACCGTGAACACTATAGGGTAGAAATTCACCATGCTGAACGGGCATATGAACAGCTTTGCGAAGAACTAAAGGAAGTCCAATTTGAGGAAGAAGAACAAGTCATCCGTCAGGCGACCGTTGTTGGAATGACAACCAGTGGGGCGGCGAGATATCACTCAGTTCTTCAAAGGATAGCTCCTAAAATCGTCGTTATCGAAGAAGCTGCCGAGGTGATGGAAGCCCACATCATCACTTCTCTTTCGCACAACACCAAACACACAATTCTTATCGGAGATCACAAACAACTCCGCCCCAAAGCGACTGTTTACGAATTAGCCCAGAAGTACAACCTGGAGGTCTCACTCTTTGAGCGAATGGTATTGAACAGCATGGATTGTAAACGCTTATCTATACAACATCGCATGCGTCCTGAGATTGCGACACTTACAAAAAGAATCTATGATCATGAAATTGTAGATCACGATTCCGTTTGCAATTTCCCGCCAATATCTGGCCTTTGCCACAATCTCTTCTTCATTGATCACTGCCAACCCGAAAAACTAATAGGAGGCTTACAAAGTTACTCTAACCATCACGAGGCTGAATTCTTAGTGGCCCTTTGCGAATATCTTCTACTCCAAGGATACGAACGAAAGCAGATCACAATTCTAACCATGTATACAGGTCAGTTGCTGCTTCTTCAAGAGAAAATGCCTCGACGAGCTTTCGAAGGAGTTAAAGTGTGTGCAGTTGACAACTTTCAAGGTGAGGAAAACGACATCATTCTTTTGTCGTTAGTAAGAAGCAACTCAGAGGGTCGCATCGGCTTTTTAGGTGAATCCAACAGAATCTGTGTCGCGTTGTCGCGTGCCCGCCAAGGCTTTTACTGCATTGGAAACTTCAATCTACTGAAAAGTCATTGCAAGCTGTGGAAAGAGATCTGTGCTGACTTAAACACAAAAGAAGCCATTGGTGACAATCTACAGCTGATTTGCAAGAGACACAAAAATGTAACGAATGTAAGGTGTGCACGAGAGTTAAAACAGTGCGAACTTGGAGGATGTACAATGCCATGTGCAGATCGCTTAGAATGTGGCCATGCGTGCGACAAGCTATGTCACGTCTCGGACGTTTACCACGCATTGGGCCGTTGCATAAAAATGTGCTTCAATTCGTGTTCCAGTGGTCACAAATGTCATAACAAGTGTCATTATCCAAGAGAGTGTCCCAAGTGCTCCGTTCTTGTGCGAAAGACACCTGCCTGTGGTCACGAACAATCCTTAAGGTGCAGCATTGACCCAGATGACGTCTCGTCCGGATTCCAATGCGAGAGGAAGGTCATAAAAATTCTCCCGTGCGGACACAACAATCTTATGAAATGTTTCAAAGACCCCATCATTTACAGCGACTGCACCAGCAGCTGCACGAAAGTTTTGGACTGCGGCCACACTTGCTCTGAAAGATGTACGCAGAAATGCCAGTGTGGCACCAAGATAGAAATTCAATTGCCATGTAACCACAGGAAACAAGTGTTGTGCCGAGAAAAAAACAATTCAATCGATTGTAACGAAAAGTGCGAACGAACTTTGAATTGTGGGCATGCATGCCCTGGAATCTGCCATGAAGAATGTGCAACGAAGCTATGCAAGATCTTAGTTTTGAAAGACCTTCCATGTGGACACCGACAAATTGTTCGTTGCTCCCGAGATCCCCAAACCGTATTTTGTTCTTCTGCATGTCAACGACTTCTGAATTGTGGTCACAAGTGCCCTTCGCTCTGTGGCAGTTTGTGTCAGGAAATTCGGTGTAAAGAGTTGTGTCAAAAGAGGTGCCAAAGAGACCACCCCTGTCAAAAGCAATGCCACTACGGTTCACCGTGCGGTGAGTGCACGGTGCCAGTAAATGCAATAATTGCCACATGTGGTCACATGGTTAAAGTGTCCTGTTTCATTAACCAAGCTACACTGATATGCAAACAGCCATGTGAAAGATTGAGAAGCTGTGGCCATTCCTGCAACGAAATATGCGGAAAAGACTGTGAAACTCGACCATGTCAGATACCTGTAATCAGAACGTTATCATGTAGGCATGTTGTGGCTCTTGCTTGTCACAAAAGTACTGAAACGTTCATTTGCAAAGCTGAAGTTGATGTCCTTTTGCCATGTGGACATAAAACCTCGTTAGAATGTCATGTCGCAAAAGCAGGGTTAAATGATGTCTTATGTATGGAAAAAGTAGAAAAAGAATTGCGTTGCGGCCATAAAGCCACCCTTCCATGCTACACAAGCGCCGCCGAGTACCGCTGCCAAAAAAAGGTGGAAATCACACTCTCTTGCGGACATAAGAAGCTTACAACATGCTCTGGAATGGAAGAACAATTTCAGAGTGGAAGATGTAACACAAAGGTGAAGAGACGACTACCTTGTGGTCATGAAAAGGAGATGCACTGTTCCGATAAAGCAGAAAAAATATTTTGCAGTGCACCGTGTGAACGCATTCTTCCATGCAAACACCCTTGCGGAAACAGATGTGGTGATGACTGTGCAAGCTTCAGATGTGCTGTCGGGGTTAAAAAGGCTTTGCCTTGTGGACACCATGATGTCGATTGCCTTTGTTCAGAAGACGTTTCCCAACGTGTTTGTTTTAATCCGTGCACTCGGAGTTTGTCTTGTGGCCACCAGTGTCCTGGAAAATGCTATGAGAGATGCAGTCAATACAAGTGCCAAACGTTGGTTGTAAAGAAATTACCTTGTGCAGGAAACCACTCTTTGAAAATGTTTTGTAAAGACGACCCAAATATCGTGGCATGTCAAGCGCGTTGTGATCGCACACTAGACTGTGGTCATCCATGCCCTGGAGTTTGTAGTCAAGCCTGTGGAGCAATCATGTGTAGACGTAAGGTGGTGAAGGAGTATGGTTGTGGGCATAAACAACAAGTACCTTGCTTTGAAAGCAAAACTGCTATCTGCAAAGCACCTTGTCCACGTCGAGAAGGATGCATTCACAAGTGTAAGGGGCTCTGCGGGGTGCCCTGTTCCAAATATCCGTGCCAAGTTCCTTTGGTTAAGACTTTGCGGTGTGGTCACAAGGTTAAGATGCCTTGTAGCTTCTCTGTTGATGATATACAATGTCCTGCTTCTTGTCAAGCTCAGCTGCCGTGCGGTCACGAATGTTCCGGAACTTGTGGCGAGTGCAAGCAAAGAGGATCACATGAAATATGCCAAAATCCGTGTAACAGAGTTCTCGTGTGTTCACACCGTTGTCAAGCAACTTGCGGCAGGCCATGTCCACCTTGTGTTAGAAAATGCAGTCGACGTTGCCCTCACGGTAAATGCCCCAAACAGTGTTTACAACCATGCAGACAATGCATAAAACCGTGTACTTGGATTTGCCCCCATTACCAGTGCAATAATCCATGCGGAGAGGAATGCGATCGCCCTCGATGTGATGCACCTTGCCCCAAGAAGCTTCCTTGTCGCCACCCTTGCATTGGTCTGTGTGGAGAAAACTGTCCCACTCTGTGCGCTATTTGCCACTCTAAAAAGCTCTCGTCCATGATTGGTCAAGGAAATTTTAAAGCAACAGAAGCTACAAGATATCTGCAGCTTTTAGATTGTGGCCATATTGTAAATGTTCAAGAGATGGACGAATGGATGCTGCAAGATATGGCAGGTGATGTCAATCAAATTCAGTGTCCTAGATGCTCTATTCCGATTACCTTCAGTTATCGGTATGGAAATATCGTGAAGAGGACCCTGAGAAACGTGGAAAATGTTAAGAATCAAATACGTGAAATTGGAAATGAAACCACCAGGTTTACCAGAGAGCTTCTTAAAAAATTGCGTCATCCCCCAAAAGGAATTCTGACTGTAGCTGGCAAACTGTCAGGACGTCTAGGCTCAACGGGGTTGTATAACGTACAAATGCACCACATTCCCTTTGTTTTTACTCTGAGAAACAGCCTTCTTATCATCCATCAAATTGAGAGGGCGTATCTCATTTTACAAGCAGTTGAAAAATGTCAAGATCAGCTGCAGGTAACAGATCACTCAAGAACCATCAAAGATGCTTTAGAAAAGATCTCAGATTACCTAACGACCCCTCAGTTTGATTTGGCAACGTTGAGCCAATTGTATGAACATACAAGAACGTTTACCCTTTTTTCGTCGATTTTAGAAGCTCAATGCCAAGTAATCACTTACCGCGGATCTTTTTCCAGCATTGGGGTATCACGTTTAAAAAGTGCTCAAGAAAGGTTCGAATTATTTATGCAAGGGAACAGTGAAGTCCTACAAAACGAATGGCTGGAAAAAATTGCAGCGTCTTTGAGGAACGAAGTCCACCTTCCACCCCCTCCAACCGATGAACCCAAAGAATTTAAGAACTTCCCAGGCTATAACACCAGGGTGTGGAAATTGTGCAAACAACACGGTCAAGTGTATCTCACCACATCATTCATGCGCGAAGGAGAGGATGTGATGGAGATAAGTGGTTGCAGACAATGCGATGGAATGGATGACAGTGGAGGAAACACTGGATAGAAGGCAGAGAACTGGAAAGTCATCATATCGGAGAACATTCTCATCAACAAACTTAAAACAGCTTCTACATCTAAAATTTAAACCGGTGGTACCAAACTGATTATTCAAGCCATCGAAAGACTTTACCAAACAAAGCCATTTATGATTTAACCAGTTACAACTCAATCTTGTATTGTCTTAACAAATTACCCTCTTGCATGAGTAATTTCACTTTTTTAATTCACAGAAAAGTGCAAAAGTAAAATTAACCAACTGAATTACTAAAGCCATACATTTACTATAAAATAAGCATATAAATAAATCCAAAAAGGCAAGCTGAGAGTAACAAGCAATAGTATAACAATTAAGTATATGCGGGCGGTTCAGAGGTGATAAAGATTTAAAAAGAAAAAACACAGGATGCTTGCTACTTTAATCTAATTCCGAACGACCGAAACGATGGCTATTAAATAATTCAGCAGGTTGAACCTATCGCTTCTAGAATTAAACTTCCAAATCAAATGGCTAAAAAATGAAAACGAAGTCAACATCTAAATTTGGAACGAATAGTACCGGATTGAACTAGAATTGAATTTCCACTTATGCAGTATGGTTGTAGCTTTCGCCTTGACAGGGAAAGACACTCAGCTGTCAGTTTACTGTTACCATAAAAGGTCCAAAGCAGGACATTATTGTGTTGCCTTATTGTTCGCACCATGTAAGGGAATCTTGCTTGTGGAATCTGAAATCCGGGAAATTTTGCTCTTGGAATCCGTAATCCTGGGCTTTTGGAATCCACAATACCACTCAAAGAATCCGGAATCCTTGTTCCACTGACAAAGACTGTCATCCAGTACCTCAGTGGAATCCGGAATCCGTGGCGTGCAATCCAGAATCCAGGAGTGTCTTGGATTCCCTTACATGGGCCGAGGATATTGTTTATTGATATATTCAACGTGTGTTCAAGATTCTATTTTGGATAGAAATGAAGTTTAAGTATTTAATCTCAGCTAAATTTGAGTGGTAAAGTAAGCCTAGTAATATGTTTGTTCCGGAAAAACTGTGAATCATTACTACTTCAAATCAAAATTACTGAAATATGCTTGGTTTAAAAGCATACAACGACTAACAAAATGTTTTTATTAACTCAGGGCACACAATTTCAACTCTTGCGTGTTCCTCTAGCTTGCGTAGCAGGCGCTTGGAAGTAATGAGCGCAAGAAAGAACGGACGAGGGAGACACGCGTGTCTCTCTCGCGTGCCTCGTCCTTTCCTGCGCCGTTACTTCTAAGCGCCTGCTACACAGGTAAATGAAAAGGCAATGAATTTAGAGCATTTAGACTCTAAAGGCAATCAATTTATAGTTTTTGTTGTTTCCCACGATAGAAAAAGGTGGGTAATAACAGCTTATATACATGGCTTCCTTACAAAAAAAGAATGTTTCAAAGTTGATTAGGTTTTAAATTTTTTTCTCGCACTTTATGTAGGCTAAAGAACTAGAAGCCATAAGTGAGTGACGAAATGGATTTCGCATTAAGTAATTTTTTTTTTTTAGTACTTGCCTCATCCTGTTCTCTATTTCTGTAGAGATATACACATTGTAGACAGTATTCAGATGCACTGTGCGCCGACATTGTAATTACGGTTGGATGACCCATGTGATACCTGTTATAATAAAGTTCAGATATAACGAGTACTCCGATTGGTTGAAAACAGGCACCTAATGAGTGCATCAAACACAGAGCTAAAGCTGTCAAGCCATCTGCCAATAGTTTCTTTAACAAAAATAAAGCAATGCGTGGGGAATTCAACGGATTCTTTATCATAAAATAAAAGCCTTGACTGTGCTCTGTTCTGTTGTAACAGGGTGGCAAAAGGGGGGGGGTACCTATTATGCATCACGCCGTTTTTTTTAAGCTATCACACATCACCGAAAAATAGTAAAAAATTATAAAATACTCCTAACTATATTAAAAGGAATCCTATTACCATTTGATCTAGGAAATCAGAGGACGAGGAACGAGAAAAAGGGGCAAAACGTTGGTGTCATAACTATTATCTCTTATTATCTATTATCTATTACCTTCTATTTTCTTGAGTGTCGATAATCGAGACTCGATTGAATGTTTGTTTCTTGTTTCTGCCTTTGTTTCTTTGTTTGTTTTCCCTTTCTTTGTTTGTTGATTACCGTAAAATTACGAAAATAAGCCCCGGGGGCTATATTTTTCAAAGGCCCTTTTTGAGGGGCTTATATTCGGAGGGGCTTATGTACGGAGGGAAATTTACGCTTTGTTTTACTTTGTATTCGAGGGAAATTCCAAGTACAAGCCCCCCCGGGGACTTATATTAGTGGCGATTATATTTGGAGGGGCTCATTTTCGGGATTTTAAGGTAATTTGTTGATTTTTTTTTTACTTAAAATCTCTGTGTTTTCTGTTTATTTCTGTCTCCCTTTCTGCCATTGATCAGTGCCGAATCCAGACCTTAAGATATGGGAGGGGGGGCCTCAGTATGGTCTAGAAAGTCCAAGGGGGGACGGGTCCCCCGGGCCCCTCCCATGGATCCGCCACTTTTGATTGTTGTTGTTTTGATTGATTCTTTTCGTGTTTTGTTTGTTTCTCTCTTTTCTTTTGTTTTTCTTTTTATCTGCCTGTGTTTTTGTTTGTTTGTTTTCCTTTCTTTGATTTTTTGTTTGTTTCTTTTTACCTTTTTCTTTACTTAAAATCGAGTCTAGATAATCTAGTGTCGATGTATTCGTACGAGTCTCGTGCTTCGATCACGATTACGATAGCCGGAAATGATAACGTGACGTTGTAAAATCGAGACGATTTTAATCGAGCAAAAACTCTCTCGTTTCCCAGAAACAGTGAGTGATCAAAAAAAAGTACCGAGATTCGTGAAGAAATCATGCACACCGCTGAGAGCCGATCAGATTGCAGGGATCAGCAGCCATTTCAAAATAGATGTAGTAATACCAAAACTAGTCACTTCAAGCATTTATTCCATTTATTCTTAGACCGCAGAATGGTCAATCGAAGAACACGCCCTTAGTTGATAGCCACTGCCTTTAGTACACTGAGCTTTTGTCTTTGTAGAGAGAAGCAAAACCTCTTGAATTGAATTATGATGATGCAATCATCTCCCACAATGATCAAAATTGTAACATTCTTATCCTGCGTGGAAGCTCTCCTTTTAGGGGATATGGAGAAAACTTACGCGCGAGCGACACGCGAAAGGAAACGAGAGAGCCAGGAGGGTGGAAAGAAACGGTGTGCTCTCCTTTTCTCCGCTCCCCGGTTGCGCTGAAGATAATCCGTTTCTTACTTAAACCTCATAAAATACGAAGGTTATAGAAACACTAGTTCTTTCCCTATTGAGGCAAGGAGAAGTGAATATCGTATCTATCGATGATTACATATTTATCAATAATTCCGTGCCCAAGTATACGCTTCTACAGTGTCTTGTTTCATAAAATTTATCACACTAAGTCACGAAACAACTTTTCTGCACACAGGTAAACGTTTATGACGCTTTATAGCATGCAGTGCTGTCAACTGTCCCAGATAATCCGGGAGACTCCAGAGTTTGAACCTTATCTCCCGGTCTCGAGATTACAGTCTGAATTCTCCCGGATAAACGCCGAAGCTTACCATTTCTTCAGAAGATTCGACATTCCGACAATAAAAGTTCAACTATTTTCGTCGTTTGATCTTTTTTAATGTTAACAACGAACGTTTCATCATAAAATCCGCTATACCATTGTAGTATAATAATGTATTGGTGGGAAGTAAAACCAACCAGGTCAAATGTTACAATGCCGACAACATCTTTTCGCGCGTTTTGTGTCATCGCAAATTCGTGACGATCGGAGTCAACAAATATTTTTTGCACAAATAACGTCATGTGCCATGCGTTATGACGTCATCTATCATCCCTTACCTATCAATTTTCAATATTTGAAGACCTAGGAGGTTGACAGCCCTGAGCATGCGAAGTGCGAAGTTACCTGGTTACAAACGAATTAAAAAGGAATTTTAGCTACCAAGATGATTTTGTGGTTGACAGTGCACCATATGTGTAAATTGAATCAATTTCGGCGACTAACTAACATATTCAACCCTTGTTAATATGCTACTTCCTGATGATACACTTTTATTGCGAGTCTTCCCAAACCGAATTTACGAAAACGATCGACAGCTCCGCATGGTGGCGCACTGGTTAGCTGAAGAGATGACCTGAGCAAGAATCTCAACTGTTTGGGATAATTGGCCACAAGCGTGACGTTTTTAATTGAAACCAATGATAAAATTAACTAATCAACATCTCCTCAGGCAAGGTGGGGACAAAACTCCGCCACAAATTAGCAAATACTTATGACAAACTAAAGAAGCTAAAACTATAAGAAGATGTAGACGGTGGCAGGTCGGAGACTGTGGAGGTGGTGGGAAAAATTTTCAACTAAGCGTCAAAGGGATGTCAGCACACGCTAATGGTAATAGTTGGAAGGGCCACGCAAAACGTATAACAAGTCTTTTATACAGCACTAAACACATTCGATCTCCTGATTGGCCAGGGAGCCACCGCCTGCACACTGCTGATAAGAAACGGGAAATGCCTCGAAATAAAATGACATTATGATTCCAGCTTCTCATCATGATGTTTGTTTTATTTTACATTCAGGTCTCGCACTGGGACGATCGCACAAAATATTATTTGGTTTTCATTCAGCTCTTGCTTGTGCAATTGAAGAATATCGCATTCAAGCTAGTAAAGCTATGCTATAGATTTTGGCATAACAATAATACAAATACCAACAA